GAGCATGAATGTGGCCAGGCATAAAGCACTTCACATATTTTATTTTTCTTAATCTCAGAACAAGCCTACAGGGTAATTATTATTATGCCTACAAACAAATGCGGAAATCCAGGCGCAGGGAGATTAAATAACTTTCCCAATGAGATGCCGTATAACCGTGATTATTCTCTGCCTTCTAATGTGTTGCCAGGTATGTTATCCTTTAGTCAAGGAGATTTGAAACCTGGTGGCATGTTTGATCTTCCATCTGTTTTACTGCTCATCCATAATCACTTGTCCCATATTTTTTTGAGATTTTTCTTGTCTCTCTCAATACTAACTGCCAGTTTCTAGTGCAGATCTTTACAACATGTAGATTTTCATAGCATATTCCTCATTGACTTCTTTCAATCTTTTATGTTTAAATAAATTGTAAAATGATATAAAACCACATCTTATTGTAAACATCCAAATTATAGAGAATGCAGAGTAAAAAGTGAAAGACTTGTCATCATTTTTGTCATCTCTCACTAATCTCCAGAGAAGTAAGCACATATAATTTTTGGTTTGTTGGCTTTTTAAAATATAAGTAAAACCATAATATTCCTGTTACTCGCAGTTTACCCTTTTTCATCTAACATTATGTCTTGCAGATCTTTCTAAGTCAGTTCTACAGAATTTACACACACTAGACACTCAAATGTTTGCAAAATAAATCTTAGACTTCAATCATATATTCCTTTCATCCAAAACAGACACTATAGTTTTTGTTCCATTTTCCTCTATTTGAAACATTTCTTTCTCCCAGGATATAGGTTATTATGGGTCTCCTCTCCTTTTTGGTTATTCTTAATCAAAATCTTTTTCATGGCAAGTATGGCATAGCGATAAAGATTTTTTTGATTAAATATCAATAAAATGTGTACGTGTGTATGGGTGGTTTCATTTTATTGGATAATTTTTCACATGTAAGTGCCAAACTCTAACTTATTCTCAGCTGTCTTGTGTAAGTTTCTAATTTCTTTACTATTTTAGTACCTCAGTAGTTCTCAAACTTCAGTGTGCACCAGATTCACCTGGGGACTTATTAAAACCCCCATTGCTTCTCCCCACCCCCTAGAGTTTCTGATTCAGTATATATGGAATGAAGCCTGGGGATTTCCATTTCTAACAGATTTCCATGTGCTGCCGATGCTCCTGTTCTAGGGACCACACTTCGAGGATCACTGATCTATGTGACTTTCCCCTGATGCTTTGTCTCTCCTAGGAGATCCTGATCCTTTCTGAGCACACACTGTTTACTGCACACTAGAATCACAGCTGTGGTGGACAACCAGACCTGGGGTGTGTGTGCCCTTCCAGAATGGGGCCAGCAGGGGCTCAAAAAGGCAGAACTGAGGAGAATGACAGGTCTGCCAGAGGCTCAAACCACACATTAAGGAACAATTTTCACAAGTGCCGAGGGTGGAAAGAACTATCGTTTGCCTTTAGTCTCTCCAGCAACATGTGCTCTAGCGATCGCTGTCTATAGCAGCTGCATCATCTTTGAGTATGAGGGATGGCATTATAATACCACTTCATCCAGAAAACATTTTTTATTTATATTCTTTACTTCCTAATGGGAGCTCAGCCAAGCAAAATTCCAGGTATTAAGTGAGCTGATGCATCCAGTCAAATATTTACATCCATTTCATCATTACCATGGATTCAATACTGGTGTGCTTTGCCTTGTAAAGTGCTTGTACCAATCTATTATACAAGAATTCAGAATTGATGAGATAGAAAAGGATTAAAAAAATTACCACAGGGCTCCTCTCTACAAATGTAGCAAAACTACTAATCAATTAGAGATATAGTAATTTTGATTTACAAAAACTGCTTGCTCATACATGTATTGGGCAGAGAAAATACCTCATTTATAGACATGATTATCCAAAATACAAATGTAATATATGTACATAAAACTTGTATAATGGGGTATTTACTCTTGAGAATGATGATATAGGAGATGTAATCATATTACTAAGAATTTAATCTTCTAAATAAATGTAATTCTTGTAAAGGTTTACATATTTACATTTTTATCAAACATTTTAATGTTGATGCATACTCAATGCACTCAGAATCAGGAAAATGCGTGGGGTTGATCGGTATAATTGGTCCATGTTGCTTCTTTGCTTGAAATATTTGTGTGAAGAAATTTTGCCATTTCTGGAAATGAAACCTAAAAAAATGCCCAAGTATTTTAACTGTTAGCTTTCACTAAGCATGTATGTATCTATAAAATGTATGTAGTATTTTTATGTGTTTGCTTAAACTTCATACAAATGGTATTATAATGATATGTATCATTCTTCAACTTCCTTTTGTCTCTCAACAATTTATTTGCTTTAACTGCTGTATAGTATTCCGTTTTATATTCATAACTAAGTTTATTTGTCTATTCCCCTATGATGTACATTTATGTTATTTCCAATTTTTCAATGCTAGAATTCTTCAGTGAATGTTTTTGTGGTATATTTCCTTGAGCACATATAGTGTATAATCTAAAAGTGAAATTGAGTCATATACAAATATTTAGCTTTACCAGACATTGCCAAATTGCTCTCTGAATTAGTTGTACCAGATTATATTGCCACTAGTATTGTATAAACGTTCTTGCTTCACATTTTTCTCAATATCTGAATGTGAGAGTTTTAAATTTTGTCTAGCCTGAAAAGTGTGAAATTGTATTTCATTGCTTTTTTATTTAATATTCCTAATATTCCTAATTACTGGATAGAGGCTGTGTTTCTTTCCTTATTTTTATTTTAGTTATTGGGTTTTCCTTTTCTGCAAACCGTCCAATTATATACTGTGCTAATTTTTCTACTGTATTGTCTTTTTTTCTAATCTGTATATAATCTGAATACTAATCCTATTCTTGGTTATATACTTTGCAAATATTTTCTCCAGGCCTGTGGCTTGTATTTTAACTTTGTTTTTTAGTAATCTTGCTGTTGCAGAAGTTTTTACTTGTGGTGTAATAAATATTATCAATTTTTTCCCTCACCGTTTGTATGTCGTTTTTTTTCCTTTCTGTCTTCTCTAAGAAACTTTCCCTAGTCCAATATCAGAAAGTTTTAAAGTTTGCCTTTTACATTAGGTCTGTAATCTATGGAGAATTATTGTGTATGCTTTAGGTAGCATCAATTAGTTTTTTTCCTATGGATTATAGTAGTATCAGCATCATTTATTGAATAATCCATCCTCTCATCACAAATTTGCACGTTTGGGTCTGTTTGAGTTTTTTTATTATGTTTCATTATTCTATTGACTTATTTCCACAGTAGCGGAAAACATGCATTTCTGTTTTTCTATGAATTCATTACATGGCCACCTTGGAATGTTTCCATGCCTTCCATAATTTCAGTTGGAGAAACAATAGTTGATGGACATTAATTTGGCTCCTGGTATTCAATCAACGTGGTAGTCATTATCGTAGTCTATCAAATGTTTCCACTTGTCTGTCTTCTTAGAAATGGGAGGATTGCATTTTCTACTCTCTTTGCATTTAAGCAGACATATGACTTATTTGCCAATGGGTTCATTCTGGAGTAGAAGCTTTGAATAGAAGATCCAGGAACCGTCCTGTGATTTGCCACACTTTCCAATCCTGCCTTGGCAATCTTGGAAGCATGGAGATGGAAATTCCCTGGTAGACATAGAGCAGAGCCCCAGATGACCTTCGATGGACATGCAGCGGGCTGAAAAACAAATCTTTGTTGTCTTAAACCACTGAGATTTTTGGAGTTGTTCATTACTCCAACATAACCTAGCATATCTTGACTAACATAGTTAATACTGTGTAATTTGCAATTGGATGATTGGGAAAATGATAAACACGTTGCATTTGTTAGAAGGTAATATTTATATTTTAATATCTCTCTTTCTTTTCAATTCCTTCCCCCTCTTCCTTCCAAGTGTGTCACCTTTAATATGACTCATATTCCCCAATACCCATGACCTGTCAAACCAATTGGAGCCAATTTTTGATGGCCTGTATTTCCTCTCCCAGCCTGCATTTTCTCACTCAGCCTGTATTTCTTCCCTCAAGCCTACATTTCCTCTCTTCGAGAGTTTACATTTTAAAAGATGGTACCTGAAAAGATGGATGTTTTACCTAAAATCTTCAATGATAAAGATCAACTTCATGACCCTGTAGTAAGGGGTCCTTAGTGAAAGCAGGCTTTCTCAGCTTCTTCTTCTTATCTTGTTGATGTCTACCAACTTGATATACATTTTAGACTGGTTCTGAATTCACAAACTTGTGTGTTCAGTATCTGACTCATGTTTCTGGACTGTTGAGGATAAGAAGGTAATGGTAAGAAGTGGAGGTGGCACTAAGAAGATGCTTCCCAGGCAGAAGTATCTTTTTCAAGTAATCTCTCCAACGATGAAAATTTACTTTATATTAATAAGTTCTTCCTCAACATGCAAAATCATCTCATATTATGGTGGGGTTGCGTAGTGATGGCAGTGGGTAAAGAAGGGAATTAATGTTTAGAGAACTACGTTTTTAATTGTTCACGCTTTAATGTGAAATATACAAAGCCTTTGTTTGGAATGTTTGCCTCCTGACACCTAGGAGGTGTTGGTGAGGCAGTGGACAGTTGGATTGTGCTAATGAGCAATTTTAGAGCATGGAACACGGCCGGCTTATATGCAGGGCCCACCCTGGTGGCTTTGGATTTGACAGAAGGAGGACACAGGGTCTCTCAGACAGAATGCAGGGGTGAGAAGGGATGTGGCAGCAGACATCAACCAAATTCCTACTTTGTAATTTTTTAAAGAGTCCTGGTGAGGGTTACAGACATTCAGAAAAATCATCTCAGGTATCAAAACTACCGTTTATACCAGCAATAGTTTCACTAAAGAATATCAAACATTTCCGATGTTAGAATACATTTTTGCCAAACTTCCCGCTCTGTAAGAAATGAGTGTTGATTGGTTCATTAAAGTTTAGATCTCTCTCTTTTTAGGTGGTTCTTTGGAGCAATCAAGAGAGCAGATGCAGAAAAACAACTATTATATTCAGAAAATCAGACGGGCGCCTTTCTCATCAGAGAAAGTGAAAGCCAGAAAGGAGAATTCTCCCTCTCAGGTATGGGCATTGTTTTGTGTGATGTAAGTATGGGTTTGAGAATCTGTAGTCATGAACCTGCTGTGTGAACGTGGACATGTTAATTTTAAATTCGTCTTATTTCTTATCTTCACAATAGTACCCAAATTAAATCTACTGAACTACTCGAGTAATATAGAAATCAGCACAAAGTTTCTACCTATGGCTATAAGTCTCTATAAACAAATATATGTACTCTAGATATGAAATGAGAAACATATGGATCTGGCTGCGTTTTTCTCACTTTTTTTTTTTGGCGAGAAAGATTGGCTCTGAGCTAACATCTATTGCCAATCTTCCTCTTTTTGCTTGAGGAAGACTGGGTCTGAGCTAACATCTATGCCAGTCCTCCTCTATTTTGTATGTGGGATGCCACCACAGCATGGCTTAATGAGCGGTGTGTAGGTCCACACCTGGGATCTGAACCCGTGAACCCCAAGCCACCAAAGTGGAATGTATGAATTTAACCACTATGCCACCGGGCCAGCCCAAAAATTTTCTGACTTTTGCATTATCTGGGAGCCTGTCCTTCTAGGGAAATGATAAGCAAGAATTAAAAGCTACGCTGTGGTCAAAATTGATCTTGCCACAATACAATTTCTTTTTTTGCATTTCATTTGTCTTTGCCTGGTAAATAGAAAATGAATTGAAATGTTGCATGCAAGTGCATTTAATTAACCCCATGACATGTAAAGTTTGGTTGCGTGTAGTTTTCCAGCTGAGTCAAGTACTTGTTTACTTTACACTGCCCTAGGAAAGAAGGGGACCTGAGATTATCTTTAAGAGTTACAGATGCTTACATGCATATCTTTGCTTTCAGGAATCTGCGTTTCTTGGTGTAGGTTGCAGCGCTGCAGAAAATCCTTTTGCAAGTCTCTACTCCAGTCCATCTCTCATGTTAGACTTTCTCTCTCCTTGCCCTGCTCTGCTCTCTGTATTGTCCAGGCCCATCATTTTTGTTATTATCTCTTTTAAAGTGTGTACTCTGTTTCTCCAAACAGATGTAAATATTTTGGGGGTGGAGATTTTGCTTCCCTTTATCCCTGTAGTCCTGAAATAATGCTGTTAAACATGATGCCCATGTGCCTCATCGTGTCTGCCTGGCTCACTTGCTAGATGTCAGGACAGCCTCCATGGCGTGATATTGAAGCGAGTCCCGAGCCCACATGCACTGGGAACTCCGACCTGACCTGAACTAGGCCAGACCGTGTGTGTTTGGTATCCATTTTCCTTCCTCACACCTGGTGATCCCAAATATCAGGCCAGGTGGGTTGGAGCTGGACAGAATCGAGGGCAGTGGTGCCGAGGCAGGTTTTTCAGAGGGTCTGTCCTGCCTATTCTGGCACCAACTCAGTGTGGTATTCTAGAATCAACTGGCTTCAACTCCACCCCTACTTAGTTAGAAATGCTATTCTGATTACCATTCTTGAAATGTGCTCAAGTATTATATATGCCACTGACCTTTCTAATCTTGTTTATATCCGGAGTGATAACCAAAATATTTAATGATTGATATAGGATGGGTTTTAGCCGCTCAAAATTGATGCCCCACCAGGCTGTGACTTCACACCAGTGCACACCTCTATACACCTAGGTGACATAAGTGAATATTGTATAGATAGAATAACGTTTTCCTGATTATGAGAGTAATATAAAAAGAAAGCCTCAAAGAAGAATAATCTAGAAATCACCTTCTGAAGATACATTTTTAATATTGAAATGCCTTTCCTGGCAAGCTTTTTTATGTGCTTAACCTATAAGTATATTTATTTAAACAAACACATACACACCCCCATACACAGAAAACACAGTCGAGATCATCTTGTAAATAAGAATATATATATAAATATATATATGTGTATAATATGGATCTGGGCTACATTTTTGTTTCTTTTTTTTTTTTTTAAGATTTTATTTATTTATTTTTCCCCCCAAAGCCCCAGTAGATAGTTGTATGTCACAGCTGCACATCCTTCTAGTTGCTGTATGTGGGACACGGCCTCAGCATGGCCGGAGAAGCAGTGCGTCGGTGCGCGCCCGGGATCCAAACCCGGGCCACCAGCAGCGGAGCGTGCGTGCTTAACTGCTAAGCCACCGGGCTGGCCCTCCATTTTTATTTCTGTCTCGTGTAACCTGCGAACATTTTTGCATGTCCTTTAATATTCTTCTACGTCATTATTTTTAGAAGCCACATAACTTGCCACTGTATGGGTGTATCATCATTTATTTAACCTGTTTCATATTCTGTATATTTTCATTATCTTTAGTAATTTTTCCTGTTATAAAATATGATGCAGTGGACATTCTTGTAGATAAATATTTGATGCTTTAAGAATATTATATTCAGAGGAAGAAAAATGAATCTTTTGGAAATCTCTATGCTTAATGATGAGATGTAAGAGAATTCCTTGATTAAATGCATCCATTTGATTTGTTTATTTGTGTTTGCCAATATTTACATATCAAATTAAGTAGTTATTATTTAGCCAAAAGCTGGATTAAATGTTTTAGATTAGCGTTAAAAATATAGAAGTTTTCCAGGAGGAAAACAAGCTAAAGGAGAATTACCTAAGTCATATCTTTGAATAATGCCCGGGCTACAGTTACTTCTCTGAAGCCTCTTTAAGTAGAATATCATGGAACAAAACACCTTTACAGGCTTAGGACAAAAATACGAGGATGTTGGCTGTTATGTACTGAGAATACTCTAGCGCTTGCTTATGGATTTAGGAAGCTTTGTAGGCCTTATTTGGAAACCAGCATATCATTATAGATTCTTTTTCAATGAAGTCAAACAATTTAGAATCTTTCAAACAAATTATCTGATTGCTGCGTATTCACTGGGACAAAGTAAATGCTGACCATTATGTTCAACTGAAAGGAAAATTTGCTTATTAGCCAGAAGGAGGGCTGTACAGGAGACAAATGGAAAGGAAGAGGTTTTCAATATATCTATATTAAAACAAGCAAACAAACAAACAACTCAATTGCTGACTGTTGATTACCACTAAGGATGCTGAGATATACCACTCATGGATTTATTTTGTAGAGTAGTTGTCTCCTTAATCAGTCAGAATTGATGGTCTTCAATTGTGCTGACTGCTGTGCTGCTAAAGGAAAGCAAATAATATCCCTTTTCTATCTCTGTCTTTCCCCCATCCGTAGAAGTATTGTCTTTATTCCTTGGGCGACAATGGCTTGCAGCTGTCAGAGAAGAGCTTAGCGAGGGAGCATGATTGATTGATGCTGGGGCGGGCTCTGAGAAGCAGCAGCCCAAGCTTGGGGTGGGTGCTAATTGGCTTGTGATCCTTGCATGGCTGTCGGCTCTTGTGAGGTTTGAGTAGATCTGGAAAGAGTTAGGGCCGTGACACCTCTCATAACGGCAAGATACTAATTAGCTGTGAATTACAGTAGCGCTTTTGGATATTACATATTATATGTGGGAGCCAGAGAATCTGTCTTCATTAGATGCATGACAGGTAGTTTTAGTAACCCTACTGTTGTCATTGGTAGTGAATTGTTTTTCTGATGAAAAATATAAAATTCTGACTGCATGTCAACTGGTTTGGCTATTTCTTGACTTCAGTCAATTACTTTAAAGGAAATTATTATTCTTATTACCGCGATGCTAATTTGATGCTTGGTGTCCTATAAGCATTTGTATTTTTGTTTAAAGTACACTTTAAGGAAAATGCACTTTGAGGACTAAAACTGAGCTGCAGGTGAGTTTTTCAGAAGAAATTCTGCACTGCACGTGGTAATTTTACTGTAGGCAACTCTGCCTATAAAAACCTCCACAACAGTAGAGAGAATTCCAGACTCATCCTCAGTGAAACTCTTTCAAGAGCAAATGATAAGGATTGAAGATAGCTGAAAAATGACTATATTGAGGATATGAGGCAAAAAAGCTCATCAGGAATATTTGGGACGATGCATCTAGGAATTGATATCATTTATTTACACGTTTGTTTATTTCTTCAACATTCAAGGTGCCTACTATGTGCCAGGACTTTGCTAGGTGAAGGGCAGCAAAGACAGCAAGGCACTGTCCCCGAGCTCCATCTGCAGGTGGGTTATAATACAGCTGTCTTGTGAGACAAGAGAGGGCAGGGCTGAGTCTCTGAAGGGGAGTCAGGAAAGTTCCAGAGAGGAGGGAGCATTTGTGTTCTGTACCAATTTGTGTTACAAGGTAGCAACGTGGGAACATTATTCCTGGCAAGACAAGTGCACAGAGTTGTGAGTGTCTGGTGTTTTGTGAGTAGAGGGTGGGAAGGATGGAAGATAGCACAGATGTGTGTATGGGTGTGTGTGTGTGTGGATGGGCAGCAGGGTTGGAGGAGGGGATGAATGGCAGAAAAGGAGCCTGGCAAGGAAAGTTGGAGCTAGATTGTTTAGGGCCTTGCATATCATGCTGAGGAATTTGGACTTTATTCTACAGAGGAAAGTTTTAGGCAGAAAGTGACCCAGTCTGAGCTTTGACAGCAGTGTGGAGAACAGATGAGAGATTTACAGATAATAGTCTGGGGAGGAGTGACAGGGACAGGGACAAACACAGTGGCATCACTTGCTGCCGTCTGAAATCAGAGGTGCAAGGCAGCAGAGTTGGTCAGCATTCTGCGGAGAAGGGTGATGGGACCACGCTCAGCTAGCTGCATGGAGGCTCTGCTCTGGCACATGCACAGTGCGTCCCCAGAAGCCCCAGGCCCCTCCGTTGCTCTCCTTTTTTATGGTGCAAGTGTGGAAGTTGCCCTACGACAAGTAAAGCAGTCTTTGCTTTGGTGCTAAGGTTGAATTTGGATGTCAACTATTTTCAGGGTTGTTTGGAAAGCCCAGCACCTGTGGGCTTTGGGCGCTGTGGGAAATTGCAGCTCCTCTTTTGAGGAAGAGGAAACCACGGGATTTGTGGGAAGTTGAGTTCAGAGCAGCCCCTCTTGCTGGGTGAAGGGGGTGATGGTGGGACAGGCCCAATGGGTCATTTGCCA